GAGGGCTTAGAGAGTTCTCTATGAGCTAGCATATCTAAGGCCTTTTATAATATGATTCGATGACTATCGAGATTAAGCAAAGAGTTATTCGATGAAAATGATCTTACGAGATTGTTGAGTATTACTCAAATGCAAAGAGTTACCTGAAACTATTTCAATTAGTACCGTGGATGATTTGATTCATTGAACGTATAATAATATGAAATCCAAATTGATTCATTGAACGTTAATAATTTTTGTGTAAAATTCCCCTTAGCATAGGCAAAGAAAAATTGAGATAATAAAATATATATTGGATAAGAGGAAGCCATGGTTTCTTTTTCTTTTTCTCTATGTTAAAAGATTAATGTCGGCTCAACGTAGCTTATCCAACAACCAAATATTTGTTTCATCGTCTTGATTTGATATCGATATGATAGATGACTTGATACAATGCCACACGAGTAATAGTACCTCTCCGAAGTGTCATGCATGACTTGTTAGATTATCATCGAGAGATCTGCATCGATCTCAAATAAGCGATGACATCTTCACAACATTCGATAAACCTCCATGAAGAGTCATGAAAGGCATTATCTATACATATTTCATATATATATATGTGTGTATATATATATATATATATATATATATATATATATATATATATATATATATATATATATTTTTTTTTTTTCCAATAAAAGTTTTAACTTTAGCTATCAGTAATCTAACATAAATATTATAGCTTATAAAAATGGCGTCTTTGTATCCACCATATCCACTATTACTTATGATAAAAAAAAAGATGCGTGGTCCATCAAAGAATGTAGCAGAGAAAGCCAATTCCATGACTCACCTTATATATATAAACATATTTGGTTGCATGCTCATGTCATCACGAACATTAAGCTCTCGTTATTGCTAATCCAACACACCTAGCAACCAAACGAATAATGTAGAACGAGTAGGAACGCATCCGATGTGATTTCATTCTGCAACAACGATATTTTACGTCAAAATGGCAAGTGCTGGCTGAGCACTGGAGTCCCAACTTGTCATGGTGGATGCAGAAGCAGCACAGGAACATGACAGCAACTGTTTCTTTTCTAGAATCATGTAATGGAGTTTCCTTTACTGTGCCATTGTTAATTGTCAACTACAAGAGGTTAGGAGTTGTGGGTGTGGAAAAGGAGGAGGAAAAGAAGATGTGGAGAATCGTTGGTGCGTGTTGCGATAGCTCTCGTCACCGTGAGTGCTATGGAGCTCATGCATGAATTATTCTTCCTTCTTCCATGGCGAAGTGCGGTTGTCGTCAACCACACCTGACTTTACTGTTTCCCACCAACCCTTCTTGGTTGGTTGGGTGGAAGAAATCTATGAAGGAATCACACATTCTTAAAACATAATGACTGACGATGGATCACATACTCTCTGAGCTCTATATATATTCTAATCCCAAGCATCAGATGACTGATGAATGTCTGCAACGAAACTTGTATTATCTGTGGAGATTAAGACTACAAGCATCATGTCGTTCAAGGAGGACATGAAGTTCGAAGACAAGAGGCATTCACCACACCGGAAAGAATGTTTGGGTTAGGGTTTCCTGGTCATACACAGTGGTGAAAGTAGAACAACGGTGACATTGTGATAGCATGCAAAGCCTTTCTCGATGATTGAACAAACCGACGAAGAGGAGAGAGAGTGACATGTGCCGAAAGAGAGGGTGTTCGACGCTCTCAATGTCATTATATCTCCGATCCCGCAGTGCTTACATGTAGCCCACGCATACCGAAAAAGGAAAAAAGTGGAAGAAAAACAAGGTTGACTTCCTTGATCTCTCTCTCTCTCTCTCTC